GGCTCAGATGTTCAGCTCAGATGTTCAGCTCAGATGTTCGGCTCAGACAATACAAGTTATTATTTGCCAACTGAAAACAAAAAGTCTTGTAGAAAAGGAGTTCATGCAGGAGAAGCGATGATAAAGGTCCATTTCAAAATGTTTCGACGTTTTATTTTCTGCCAGTTCCACTGCTGGAGTTGAATAAGATATTGACCTCTGTGAAAGATCACCTTGGAAAGTGTGATGCTAACAAGCCAACCACATGGTGCATGACGGCCTCCTCCAGGACTGCTGTCTCAGGACCACCGCAGGGGATTTCATGACTACGTAGAGCATGAGCATGCATCAGGATAACTACGTAGAGTTGCATTTGGGACTCAAAAATCCAATCCGACCCCCTCCCAGCCCGTAGCCATGTTTTCCGAACCCGACACGACCAGTTTGCCTGTAATTATAAAGCAAACCTGACTTTTTTTTTTTTTAATTAAGCTTTTGCTGCTTTTGTAAGCAAATCAGTTTGACATGACACTTTAAAAATGCATTTCAAAGAAAGGACGCTGTAAGAATTCTTGTTTATTAACAAGTAAAAATATTAACATATAAAAGGAATAGCCTAAAAAATTCAGCTCTAAAGACGGGCCATTATACAGAGGAAGAAAAATATTTTTAGAGGGAAATTATTTGGAAGAATATAGAACAAGACTATTTTAATTGAACGTGCTGCTCGCTTCAGATCCCTCACTGCAGGTGACAGCAGGTGCACTGGTGGTGACCAGCTGATCCATCTGAAGCTTAACTGGACATTGTTCTACCTCGCGTTAGAAGTCGCAGCTCTATCCCTAAGGCTGAATTTTGGTCCCACTCTGCATCAGCTTTGTTAGTCAAATTTACTGCCATTTACTGATCCAACTGACGCTGCAGAGATTGTGACTGAACCAGTGCGCTCTTCCCATCCCGCCCATTGTTTCCATCTGCAACATGTAGAGGCTAAGATGGCGTCCAAAACGAGCAACTGCTCACAGCTGACAAAACTGATCAACTGCAAGCCCAACTGGATCTGTGTCACACATTAATAGATTTACAATAAATAATTCATCCATCCATCATCTTTACCCTCTTCTTCCTTTTCGGATCACAGTGGTCACTGGTGCCATGTCCAGCCACTGTATGAGAGGAGGGGGACATGCTGGACAGGTCTCCAGTCCATCACAGGGACACAGAGACAAACGAGACAAACTATTCACTCTCTCACTCTCATCTAGGGACAATTTAGAGTTACCAATCAGCCTAACATGCATGTTTTTGGACTGTGGGAGGAAACCGGAGTTCTCAGAGAAAACCCACGCAGCACGAAGAGAACATGCAAACTCCACCCTGAAAGGCCCCCGGACCAGGATATGAATCGTCGACCTTTTCGCTGAAAGGCAGCAGCTCTACCAACTGCACCACCCATGTTAATAGCCCGTGTTCATTTATACAGCAATCATGGAAAACAGCTAGATGTTATAGTTGTTTACCACAAGTTTGCTTGTACGCTCAAAAACTGTTTGTCAGGTTTATTGAGGCGGCTACTCACCGGTGCGTGTCTGCTCTCCTCCATGCACTGTCTCAAAGGACCACACACCTGCATTAAGAACCTAATCAGAATCACAGAAGCTGCAGCATAGTTCAGGCTAGAGCTCCTCCTCTGTCTGAACTATGTAATCTAAGAGAAACTAATGTTTGAAAGAAAATGAGTTAAAATGAGGTGCAATTAAAA